TCTGAATTTCACGTTCTTGGGCTTAAAATATAGCTTTCAAGCTTAAATGAAATCTCGAGTGGTAAGTTTCATTCCTTCTTTCCTTTTTGTACCGTTTAGAGACCGCTCCATTTCGGATGGGGGTGGTGGATCTCCAACCCTTCCCTACATGCCGCTCTTTCTCCGGTCAATCTAGCAAGCTGAGACTTCTTCGCTTATACAGAGGTTTGATTAACTCACTGTTTAGACGAGTTCAATTATTGCCGGGGTTATTTTAGCTTATTTTCTTGTCCACTCATCTGGGGGTCGGCTTTCATCGCCATACTGGCTCTGTGCTGTCAGGACCTCTCGGGGACAGGCAAGCCTTGATCCCTCAGCCATCGCCTTGGGAGAGGCTTATCCCGGCTCCCCAGGCTGAGTGTCTCCTACAGAGACTGTGTGGGGGTCTGGAATCAGCCAAGACCCCTCCTGATCACCTCGGCTTGGCGCGTTGCCATCGGCGGGTCGATGGGATGCATGCAAGAGCAAACCACCATAAACCGGAAGTCCCTCACTAACCTTTTAAAGTTCTTTGAGGGCGTTAACAAAATGTGGACAAGGGTGACCAAAGTTGTTTACCTAGACTTCCAGAAAGCTTTCAATAAAGTTCCTCATCAAAGGCTCCTCAGTAAACGTAGCAGTCATGGGATAAGAGGACAAGTTCTCTTGTGGATTAAAAACTGTTTAACAGGAAACAGAGAGTGAATATAAATGGCAGTTTTCACAATGGAAGGTGGTAAGCAGTGGGGTACTGCAGGGCTCAGCATTTGGTCTGGTGCTTTTTAACTTGTTTTGATTTGAAGTTTGGAATAAGCAGTGAAGTGGATAAGTTTGTGGATGGCACTAAGTCACTCAGGGTGGTGGGAACCAGGGAGGACTGAGAGGTGCTCCAGAGGGACCTGTCAAGGTTGGGAGAGTGGGAGTCAGTGTGGCAAATGATGTTCAGTATAGGCAAGTGCAAAGTAATGCACACTGGATGCAAAAAATCCTAATTATAAATATATGCTCATGAGGTCCAAACTGGCAGTAATTGACAAGGACAGAGATCTTGGAGTCCTGGTAGATAACTTGCTGAAGATGTTGACTCACTGTGCAACTGCAATAAAAAAGGCAAATGCTATGCTGGGGATTATTAGAAAGGGGATTGAAAACAAATCAGCCAGTATCATAATGTCCGTGTATAAATCTATGTTGTGACCTCATTTGGAATACCATTTTTGTCATTGCACCTCAAAAAAGAGATTATAGAATTGGTTTTCGGGGTATGAGCTTTCAAGAATCAAAGCTCCACTCGGACCTGGATAGCCCAGGCAAGCCCAGTCTCATCAGATCTTGGAAGCTAAGCAGGGTCGGCTCTGGCAAGTACTTGGATGGGAGATCTTGAAATGGGATGGGAGGCAGGGGCAGGCTTTATTCAGCCACATCTCTGAATACCCTCCAGGCCCCCAGGAGGGGTCAGTCTCCAGAGGTTGCCATGACTTCCAGGTGCACACACACACACTCACACACACCACCAAAGAATCAGAAGGAGACTGAGAATAGCAGCCATGAAGGAGCTAGAAAAGCTTCCTAAGTGTGAGGATGTGTCACACTGGTGACCAAGATCAAGGTAATTCATAACATAGTATTCTCCATTATGATGGGTGTCAAAGTTGGACAGTGAAGAAAGCTGACACAAAGAAATTAATTTGAAATGTCGTGTTGGAGAAGGGTTTTGCAGATACTATGGACTGCCAAGAAGACAAATACGTGGGTTCTAGATCAAATCAAGCCTGAACTCTCCCTAGAAGCTAAAATGACTAAACTGAAGACAAGAGTCACTGGAAAAGACAATAACGCCAGGAAAAGTAGAAGGTAAGAGGAAAAGAGGAAGAGCAAACATGAGATGGATTGACTCAGTCAAGGAAGCCACGAGGGCCCTCCGTTTGCAAGACCTGAGCAAGGCTGTTAATGATAGGAGCGTTCTGGAGGTCATTCATTCATAGGGTCGTCATAAATCAGAAGCAGCTTGATGGCACTTAACACAAACACACACACACACACACTCTCTTGCATACAGTCTGACCAGTGTAAAAGGCAGTGTGTTGCATCCTTCCTAACAAGCATATGTCACCTTGGAGGATAGGGAGGGGCTATGACTCAGTCACAGAGCACCTGGTATCTTCAGCTAAAATAAGCAAGAAGAAGGCGATGTGTACGATGTTTTTCTGTAGCTGCCTTCATTCTGGGCAGCTTGTTGCTGCAAGAGGTCACCTGGTTCTCACTCTCCGATAGGCCTTCAGCCAGCCTAAGTCTGATGACTGCCTGATTCCAAGATATCTATTTGGTCTGCCTTCAGGCCTGCATTTCCCCCCAGCCCCAGCATCCTTCCCCTGAAGCAAGAGGCCATTCTGTGGGTGGATCTAACCTGGAAAAAAAAAATCACTTATTGCCATGGGGTTGCTCAGGAGATATCCCCAATACATTCTGCCCTCTGTCTGCTTATTTACTAGGCAATTCACTTATAGACAAACATTTGTTCACAAAGAACAGTGTGCAAATACTCAGGTATACTAGTTTTCTTTTATAGACAAATGCTTAAATGGAGCAGTTAGATAACTGTTTTACTGCAGACCAACACAACTGTCTTCTGAAACTAGTTTAAAAGGAAATTGTTATGGCTTTTGAAGTTATGGCGCCCTCCCATGGCGTTTCCTCAGAAAGTTGTTGTGTAAAATGTTATTTCTTTTTTCCTCTTGCCTTACTATAATTGACATTTCACCTTAAAGGGGCTAATGCAGGAGGTATTCCCCAGGTTATCATACCCGTTATCTGTGACTTTTGACAACTTCTGTGCTCCTTTATCGCCACTATAATGTTCTTTTCTTCTCCAACTATCAACTTTCATTAGGAAATCACTATAACTGAAACTTGCAGGATGTCATGTATTCTGTAGGAACAATGACATTTACATCCAGGTCAACAGAAGGGGATGGGGGGTGGGAAGGACAGTATCTTGGTACATGTGAGTGATGGTGGAAAGTGTTATATGTTAGACACCCTTTGAAAATAACTCATACCCTGGTTCATCCTGTTTACATTTGCCAAGCTTTGTCCAAATACTGGGCATGCTACCTGTCCCGGTATGGACCGGGACTGCCCCGCCGCCACCCAGGGGAGGCCAGGGGACACGCCCGGAGTATGCCTACCTGGGTCGGCGGACCCGTGCCGGTCAGGAGAGGGCGATAGGCGGCCCACAGCAGCCGAACACCCCGGCCGCGGGGAGAACAGGGCGGAGAACGCGGCAGAGCCGGCCCCGGGCGAGGAAGAAGCACGGCGTGCCCCGGCCCGAGCAGCGGAGGAACGACGCGGCAACAAGAGCCCCGGCGGTGGCGAACAGCCCGGACAACGCGGGCGCGCCAGGACCCGCCCTCGCACTCGCCCGCCGACACAGTGCACGGCGGGGCGGGAGCCCGACGCCTCGACCGGCGGCGCCCGGACGGGAGGGGGCGGGAACTGTGTGGGCGGGTCGGCGTCTTTGCCTTTGGGCAGGGGCGGGGACCAGGTGCGGGGGCTTGTGGGGGAGACGAGGGGAATAAAGCCGCGGCAGGAGCAAGCCGAGGAGGACTCGCTGGACTGGCTGCTAGCCTGGCAGTCCTACTGAGCACACGAGAGAGAGTCGGTAGACGCAGGCAAAAGACAGCAGTTCCAGGCAGACCCAAAAGGGGGGGGAGTGACGGAACTCCCCACAGGGTCTGCGTCTGAGGCACGCTCTGCTAGCTGCCGGATCCTTTCTCTTCCTCTCCCGGGAGCCTCCTCTTATCCCCGCAACCCCAAGGGTCCTTTGGGGCAGGCGAAGACACGGCGGAGGGTCCAGACCCCGGGCGGGAGCTGACGGAAACTCACACTACCCTGCATCAGTTTGGCCCTGATTTCATTTTAAATAAAAATATCTAGCTTGTGCAGGTACAGAGACATAAGACAAATCAGGCATCCAGGACTTTGCCCAGTCATTTAGTGACACCGTCTGCTCCCACCTTCCAGGATTCCAGCCAATGAAGGAGGTCACAGCTGTTATTGACATCTTTGCGCTCTCTCTCTCTCTCTCTCTCTCTCCCTTTTTGAAGCTTGACTGAGAAGTAAGTATGAGCAAATAGTCAAGCAAAAATACTTTGCCAACGGCAAGATCATTGTATTAGAAACAGTGTGGTAGCCTGGGAACATATATGCATTGCTGGCTGGAATGTCCTATTTTGATAACCTTAACCATAGAGCAAATATCTGGTATAAAATTGCAAAATACTGTAGAACATCTTCTTTTACATCAATGGAGTATAGATATACAAGTAGAGAGTACGAAACAGCAAATTGCCATTCTTTTAGCAGCGGCTAAAAATGCTGTTGCTCTACAGCGGAAAAGTAAACAGAGACCAAATAAACAGAACTGGCACGCTAAGCTATGGAATATGTACGTAATGGCAAGAATTACAAAGAGTGTTAATGATTCCTACTCTCAAAGAATACGATCTAATTTTTCTGTGACGTGGTCCCCTATATTACAGTATTTGATGCAACAGAAAGAAATCCCCAATATTATAGATTTATTACATTTATGGTGAAATAATTAATAATGTGCCAAATGATTGTTAGAATTAATAGTTGTATAAGATACATATGACCTATGTGGTGATCTGTTATAGTTGGAATTATATATTTTATTATTATTGAGATTGATGTCTATGTAAATTTGTAATTCATGTGTATGTAAACTTAATTGGAAATTCAATAAAATTATATTTTTTTAAAAAAGCAAAAATACTTTCTTTGATTCTTCCCCAACTTTGTGTGGTAGTTTTTTAGAGGAGAGGCATAACGACTGGCAGACAATGCGTTAATGAATAGAGTTGATATGCATCATCACCAGACAATATATACAGCATGTATGTTGGGGAAATGGTATATAGCTACCCTAATCCTATCTTGAAATCAGACTTGCTACTCACTGTTTCCATGCCCAGCAGGACGAGCAAGGGGATTGTGGTCATGCCACCTCGAATCCATTCTTCCAGTGTCACAGTTCCATCATGATCATAGTCTATTTCTTCCATCATCTCCTTCAGGATCTGCAGAAAACAAAATCTCATTAGAACATCATATCCTCTGTCACATCCTCTCTCGAACTGTAGTTATTCCATTGGCCGGTTATACAATACATTGGACTGGAGAATGAAGAAACAGAATCTAGCATTAATAAAAATAAATTATCAATATAATACACAACACTAACCTTGAGCTACACAACTCTCAGGCTTGCTCTGTTCATGTATTTATTTCCCACCCTGTGAAACTATGGCAGTTAAAGAACGCACTAATGAAAACAGAGTGTCCATTCATTTCCCCTTAGTCTTCTTTATTTCTTATCTCAGACATTCACAGACATCCACACTTTTTTGTGACATAGCTGAGATATGCCTGGAGAATGAAGCCACTGGAGAAGTCCTATGCGTATTTACACTTCCTAAATATGTAGATAAGCTATTCTGGACTCATCTTTTCAGTTCTCAGCTATCTATCTACTCTTAAGCTGTATGTCTTCTACATGGGAACTCTCATCAGGGCATAAGCTTTGGATTTCAAGGGCTGTTACCATTGCCAAATGTCTTGTTCTGTGCCATTGGAAAGCTGTAGTTCCACCATATATAGAAACTTGAACAGAAGACTAGCACAAAAGGGGAAAAAATTACTAGGTGGGACGTAGGAATTAAACATAACAGTATTTGAGCTGAATTTTTACAGCTCTATGAAATCTTGATATAGAATTTATTTGTATCTGCCTGGATGTTTTACCTTCATCCCCCCCCCCCTCTTCTGTTTACTGCTAGGTTAGAGGGAGCATTTATGAGACTGAAAGGTTGTTTGATAGTAAGTATTTTTATTATATATATTAAAAGTAACAATAAGCCTTAAATAACCAAAACGTAGAAGAAGGAGTGCTCCTGGACTGCATTAATACTTTTCTTTCAAAAGTCTCAAAGGAGTACATGTATAAGGAGATCCTTGAGGTTAGGTCATAGCACAATCACCCTTTATGCTTTAACTCTTTTACAGTGCTCAACAGTGGAACTTACCGGCCTTAGTTCTGTGGAGTCCCATTCCAGGTATTCTGCTACATGAACCATCTGATTGATAATACGATCCAACTCCTGAACTCAGAAATAAAACAAAAAGTGGAAAAAAATAAAAAATGTAGCTGACTGTAGTTCTACAGTAATCTCAGTTATAAGTATCTTGGTGTCACAACCATATCAAGGGGAAAAGACCTGATTTTTTTTTTTTAAATGAAGGCCAGTGAATGCCTTTTTCTATTAACTGCTTCTCTGAGTAGCAATAAGTGATTTGGTTACTTGCTCTTGGAGATTGTGCAGATAAATGCTTTTGGAGAACTCACACCAAGGGAATATTTATTTATTGTACTTTTCCTCAGGGGTCGTTTTGTAGAAAAAGAGCTAGGGGAACTCATTAGCATAACTCATTAGCATATGCCACACCCCCTGACATCACCGGAAGTGTGTCATAAGGCCACACACCTCGCCCCCAATGGTTCCCCCCATGAGGGGCCCGGCAGTGGACCTGCAAGGCCGGCGAGAGTGCAAGAAAGCCCCGCGAAGGCCCTCCCTGGCCCCAGGCAGGCAGGGGTGGGGAGAGGCAGGGAGGAAGCAACTTACCCTCCCTCTTCTCCTGCCTCCTCCTGGCTGAATGAGGGGCGGAAGCGGGGCGGCCGGAAGCAGGGGGCGGGGCTTCGTCATGTGCCCCGCCCCCATACCTCACCCGGGGGAACTGCGATCCCCCGCGTTCCCCCTGAAATGACCTCTGCTTTTCCTCCACTTTTTAAGCTACAAACTGGTTCCCAAAGTGGCTTACAGTAATTTAAAACAAATACAATTTAGCTGATACCGAAATGAACTAAAATATACATTTTAAAAGGTATATACTAAAGATAAGAAAAAAACCAGTATGACTTTTAGTGAGTTTATGGTAAGATTGCTGGAAGCCTGAGCAAAATGTACTGCAAAGAAAGCTGATGGGATAGCAAGTGTAAGTAGGTTTGCTTAAAGTCCTTGACATTCTCAAAAGCTGTCTAGCATGAGTGTTTTCCTCAGCTTTGGTGTCAAAGTGGAAATCTCTGAGATGCTATAAGGCACTGAGAGTCTTCCCACATCGGTTATGGTGAGTCAAGATGGAGAGCTTAGTGTTTTATTAATGCTGTACCTCGGGTTCTTAACTGAAGGCATAATTATTGGTATTTTGTTCCTGTAAGGTATCTGACAATCGGAGTCTCTTTCCCAATCCCTTACAGCTAATACCATGACTAGAAATTTATTTGTCTCTGGGTGTGTCAGGTTCTCTGATACAGAAACTTCATCATGAGACCTTATCTTAGGGTGGGAATGCTGTGATTCTATACTAAGGAAGTATCAAACTGACCCCCCACCCTATTAGTAGAAAGGAGATGAGGGACACCAAATTAGCATGAAAATGGTACCACCTCTCACAAGAAAGCCATGCTTCAAAAGCCAATATATATTCTGAGGGAAAGGGGCATGTCTGCCTGGCATTTGCCCTGTGGTTAGGCTTAACAGACCTAAATGGGAAGGAATTATGACAAGAAAATATTGTAAAGAAATCATGATGTGCCAGAGGATATCACTGTTACACACCTACCAATGCTTCACTGATGAAAATACAGAAACCCTCACCAAGCCCTATCCCACAACCCCCCATTAGATATTGCTCGGGATCTACTCCATCTGCTGTAGGGCATATTTATTTAGTCTGCAGTGACCTGACCTCCAGTGATTTAAGGGCCGAGAGGATGTTTTGGTTAAAATAATACTAGAGAAACATAAATGTCCTACAATAGGTTATCAGCTGTTCAAAATCTACCTCAGCAGCTGTAGCATGTGAAATGGGAGGCTACATCCTGTCTCAGAGTTTATGCTCATGCTTTCACATACATAGGTGCTGTGTCTATCCACCTCCCACCTACTTAGAAAGTTGACTCCTTGGAGATCCACGGGGAAGAGAGCTGAACCACAAAGAACTCTAGCTTATAATAATATTTTATAATACTATTTTACAAAAGAATCCCCAAAAGGGAAACAGGGACAAAGACAGCACACTAACTTAGCAAGGGCAGGAACCAGCAAATAGAGGTCATCTCTGAATAATAGCTACCATTGGAGCCAGCCAACACTCACTTTCCAGTGGCAGAAGAGTGGAGATTTTCACCAGTTCCCCATACTCATTACAGATCCCTGCATCACACACAGTAGTGTTCCTAGGATTCTTTTAAACCGTCCAGAGGCTGAATTTCAGAGGGTACAGTTGGCTATGCAGGAGAGGGAGGGGGGAAAATTCCATTCCATGAATGGAACTCATGGTCCTTAGCAACCAATGTTAGTTTGTTACTGTCAGCATTTAGTTGTACCCAGCAGTGCAGATGGAATATAAAATGTGGAAGTCAGATCAGTACAAGGATTTCTAATCCTGAATTCGTGTTGTTAGCTAGATGCCCCAGGGGAAAAAAAAAACATTAGGTAAAGTAATACAGAAAACCATAAGGGGCCAGGAACAGAACATGCCATTCTGACACAGGCGATACAAACATAAGGAATGATCATATGGAGATGCTGACATTCATCAGGCAGCAGGTTCCATAGCATCAACCTCTGGTATAACATTACAAAGCAGGACACCTTGCTTCTGGACCCTCCCCCCATTGACAAAAAGAGGGAAACCCATTATTAACCCTGAAGTAAGCAGGCTTGTCAATAAGGAGTGGACACCGATTTCATTGACCTGATTATGATCCCACATCACAGGATACGACCTGGGTTTTATCATCCTGCTTAGGGCCTTCACCCCCTAAGCTCTCAGGATCCTCCCCATTTCAAGGTCTGAACTTCAGGAGTTGAAACATCTCTACCCACAGATGCCAGTCAGACTTCGCCCAGTGTGCATGTGATTCTCTACACAAGAGGACAGCCTCCCCAGCAGAAGAGCTTTCAGGCATTAGAGAGATAGCTCCCTTTCTTGAGAAAAGCAATGCTTTGAAGCATGTCTTACCGAGCTGTCCAGGAGGCCATTGCCATCTGTGTCATAGAGACGAAACATAACTGCAGAAGAACACAAACGCAGACGGATTAAAAAATGCATGCCCCCACCGGCATCATGAGCACACTCACTTGTTCCTCTTCCTTGTAAACTGCACGAAACTAGTCTTCAGTTAACACTACATATTGGATATACTATATCTAAACAAATATCCTAACTGTTGCCCAAAGGTTAAGCAGAAACGGAAGACCTTTCTTGTACTGTTGCACTGGTATAGTGTACCTGAATATCCTATGGGGTTTCTAAGCAGCACTATATAGGTTGTTTTCACTAAAGAGAAGGAAGGTGTGGGAAGGCCATTTGCTTCCTGAAACTAGTATGAAGAATAGTTGACCCTGGAATGGCCCCGCGAAGTCCAAGTGGAGCCGAGACTAGGGCTTGTGGGAGGACTCCCAGGCTCTAGCGGGGGCCCAGGGAGGCTCGGGCCGGGACTCTTGGCAGGGCAGACACCTCTTGACCCGGTCCTCGATGCCTAAAATTGCATCTACATCAAATGATAGGGTCATCAGCAAGAGGAAAAATCCTCTGGACTGTGTTTCAGTCATCATCAGTAAATGAAAGGGAAGCAAAGCGGGAAACCAGTGTGGGCTGGAGGTGGTACAGCAGGAGGTGGTACAGCAGGAGAGGAGATGTTTATCTGAGGGAATACCAATGAAGGAATAAGAAGAGGAGAATTGCAGCAAGCACTGCTTTTACATAAGGTTTAAAATGTTATTCTCAGTTAAGAAAGCTGACTTCCTATAAAAATAAGTTTAGATAAAGGCTAAAACTAGTGAGATCTGAGGTGAGGATCTCATCCTTGTTTGGGGTTGGGTTTTTTTTGTAAATTGTGGTTGCTTGGCAAATTGTGGAAGCCACCCCTCATAATCTGGCCAAGAGTCTGGAGGCTGTGGTGGGATGGTTAAAACAGAGTAGGCTGAGGCTGAATCCAGCGAAGACAGAGGTTCTGTGGCTGATAGGGCACATTGGGGCTGGGGCATAGACTTCCCACTCTTGACAGGGCGCCACTAACACCGGTGCAGTCTGTCAGGAGTTTGGTCCTGGTCCTGGATGCCTCCTTAACTATGGAGACCCAGGTCATGAATATTGCCAGACTGTCGTTTTTCCATCTACGCCATCTAAGTCAATTAGCCCCTTTCTTGTCATGCCCTGACCTAACCACAGTAAACAATGCAACAGTTACCTCCAGATTAGACTACTGTAACTCATCTACACTGGCCTTCCCTTGAGACTGACCCAGAAACTCCAGCTGATCCAGAATGTGGCAGTGTGAGTCCTGAAAGGAACGCCATGGACAGCACATATATAGCCTGTGCTGCGCCAGCTACACTGGCTTCCAGTGGAATACCGAGTCAGAGTCAAGGTTTTGGTACTGACCTTTAAGGCCTTGAGCGGACTGGGACCAGCATATTTTTAGGACCGTCTCCCCTGATATGTCCCCAAGGAGAGCATCACACTCAGCTGAGAGCAATCTGCTGGTGATCCCTGGCCTGAAAGCTGTCCTCGACCAGAGCCAGGGCTTCTTACCCCTGACTCTGACCTGCTGGAACTCTCTGCCAACTTCCATCAGGGCCCTGTGGGACTTAATGCAATTCCACAGGGCTTGTAAGGCAGAGATGTTCTGCTAGGCTTTTGGTTGAGGACAGCAATGGTTTTCCATCATAGCTGGCACCCTCCTCTTCTTTTTTTCCACCTTGCCCAATTCAGCCTCCTCCTAATCTGCCCATGAGATGGAAGAACAGTTGAGAGCAGATTTTAGACTAAATTACAGACACCATCTGGAGACTGTGTAACTAGGATTAATTGATCTGTCGATTTTAAATTGTATTTGTATGTTTTTAACCTGTTGTAAATCGCCCAGAGCTCTGTGTACTCAGGTATGGGGTGATTCAGAAATTCAATTAATACTGATGATGATGATGATGATGATGATGATGATGATGATGATAGGCCTCCATGTGGGCAATCTGTCTCCCCTCACAAACCTAATTACTCCATGAGTTTGGGGGAGGCGATTTATATCAAGAACATTATTACACTAGAGGAAATGGTTAAATACCTGGGTTGCCAAGTCCAGGTTGGGAGATTCCTGGATCCTAGCAAGGGTAGGATTTGGAGAGAGGAGGGACCTTAGTAGGGTATAGTGCTGTGGAGTCCACCCTCCATAGCAACCATTTTCTCCAGGGAAACAGATCTCTGTAGTTTGGAGATGAGTTGTAATACCAGGAGATCTCCAAGCCGCACCTGAAAGTTGGCAACCCCGTTAAATGCTTCCTCCTCCTCCTCCTCCTTCTCCACTTCAAGATTAGCAGCTATGCTTATCAGGACTTACACCTCCCCATTTACATCTGTTGAAGGATCACACTGGTGGGAATGCAGGCACATGCACTGCAAACATAGAAGCCTCCACTCTCTCTTGCAAGGGAGGTATTAGCTGGTATTGTGCTGCCATCTTGAGCATTTTTGTTGGGATCTGTATGTCTAGGGTTCCAGTCATGGAACTCCAGTATCATGTATACTTTGAGCTCTATTCAGAGCCTTCAAGGAAAACAGGGCACCTTTCTGTCAGCTCTTCTCCTGCAACTGAAGCAGCTCATTAAAAGATCAAAAAGAGTTCTTCAGTGCTTCTTTTTATCTTGTGAGATGAGAATAAACTAACTCTAAGTATAGCAACGCACCAAGTCTGAGGGACAGTGAGATCTGCTTCTAATAAAGACAAGCCCTGCTCAGATGTGTGATGGAACTTCAAAGCCTGCATGTGCTTAAACCCACCCTGAAATCAGCCAAGGAAAACTGCTTTATCTATTTGGTATGTTGCACGTCTTTATGCATGGTTAACAGCATATCAAATGCGCAGAAAAATAATTAAGAAATGTCAAAACCAGATTAACACATTGGCAGAATTATTATGAAACAATGGCAACATTAATTTGTACTCCATCATAATGAGAATGTAATCCTTGCAGAGCTAGATACCCAGCAATAATTTCCTCCTGTTGTTAGTGTTGCTTCAGGTGCTGTATTTTTCTGATTGTTCCTGATGTTGTGATTCTGTACTGAACTTATCTTCTGATCTCAGCTCCATGTAATATCAGTCTATTCATACTTACTGCCACATGCAATATCAGTTGTTCCTCCAACAACAAGAAGAACAAAAACCCTACCTGTAAGCTTCTCTAGTCATTCTTTATGTAGGTTCATCTGAAATTCTTTGATTTCACCCTGGTCTACCTACACATGGGTCTTTTTTAAATGGTTAAAAAGCACATGAGAACATGCCAAGAGCACCAGAGGGCAGTCTTGTACAGCTGTTCTCTAATATCAATCTAAAACCCGGTCATAAATTATTTACTGAGGTTTTAGCTCTGTGCATTGTGGAAATTAACAGAGAAGCTGCAGCAGCTAGAATTCCCTCTCTTTATAGCACGATTTCTGGGCATCTTCATCCATTCACTTGTCCTCTTCAGACCTTTATAACTAGTTTGGCTCATAAAGCAAATAAGACTTCATATGCAATTCTAGAATTGTTCAGGTAACGAGAGAGGAGCAGTTTGGCCTCAGAAAACACCTAGTTGTACATACTGTTAGTAATCCCTACCAATGTATACTGCAAAAAGCAGAATAGTTATAAAACAGCATTGTAGGGTTGTCCTTAGGATACATACTGTGAGTAACCCTTCTTGGCAAAAACATTTCAGCTCAAATGTATTCACAGACTGTCTCAGTCACAGAATCAATGGAAATGTGATGTAGAATTGGCCTCTAGAGAGAACACAAGGTTGGATCCAGCACAAGATTTCTGCTTACACTAGAGTTCCTGCGTGAGTGGAAATGCAAGAAAAAGACTGCAGTAGCTGCTCACACTAAGTCAAACATTGTATCCGCACTTACATTTTCACTTGTGAAAGATCTTGCACAATCAATTTCTGGGTATGGTGATATAGAGAAAAGATGGAACTAGGTGTTGCATAAGATTTTGCACAACCGGAACCATGCAAAGTCTGTTTATGCTTCTGTTTGCATGCTGCTGGGTTCAATACAGAGGGTGTATAATTATTTTCTAATGGCAAATGAGTCAGCCAGTCACCTTGTCACAAGTAGGGAGGTACCAGAAAGTAGGATGGGCCGAGGGAAGGGAGAGAATCCCTGTGACAGTGTGAATCAGTTCTGAGAAGTGTTTGTCAGATAATGCCCCTATGTACTCATCGCCCTTCTTTTCTGGAACCAGGATCATAAGGATGAATCAATCAGAGTGCAAGGGACCATGTTGCCCCCTAACTTTAATTTCAAGTTTAAAATCAACCTTTAAAGTTTGAAATCAAAGCTGCCTTGAGTAAAGAGGAAGGGCTGGGTATAGATATTTTAATGAGTAAATTAACAATGTGAGTTTTGAAATTTTGCCTGATTTCTGAGTTGCCTGATTTCTGAAATTATATATCAAATTTGAGCTCTTTAAAAAATCTTCTTGCTTGGCTTCCGGTCTGGCTCCCGCGAAAGGCGGACGCATCCTTGGGTTGCTCCCGAGGGGCGTCTCGCCCGCCCGCGGTGGAGGAGGGAATCCGCGCGAGCGGAGACCCGAACGAGCCCCTCAGGATGTGAGGAGCTCGGATCCGGGGCGCTTTAGGGCGCTCGAGGGGGGAGTCTCGCTCTCAGCCGAGAGGTTGGAGACGAGGCGCCCGCCATGCCCTGCCCCTTTGGACCTTGCTGCGTGAGCGATCCCGTTTTACGGGGTTTAGCGGAGCCACCAGACGTCACCGAGTGATAAAGCGATCATCCGAAAAAGTTGAAAAAGAAAAGATCGGCCTAACTGTGAGTTGTCAAAATGCAAAGAAAAAGATCTAAAACCGCTTCCCCCCCACCCAGCGAAAAGGCTAGGAGGTTAACCCTCTAACTGCATAAGCGAAAAAGAAAAGGAGGGGGGGAATGGACTGAGCGAACAGTGATGTTTTCCCTTGATGTATTTGAAATAAAGCGAGAGAAAGTTTTGTCTCTCTGGAGCACAATTTAAGAACTTTCTAAAAGTAAACAAAAAAGAAAAGATGTCGGAGCTGGGCAAAAACGAGCGGAAGGGAGGGACTTCCGTCTGGGCGTTTGCTTGTGTGTGAGAGCCGGCTGTTTAGTGTTTTGGATTGTTTATGGTTGTGAATCCGACGGGAGTTTTGTAAAATGGAAAAGTTTGAACTGTGACAGCGAGGAGTGCCTGGCAAGCGCTTATATACGTCCAGTTTCGAGGAGGACCCAATAGAGAGTTTGGGAGCGGAAATAAAAGCGAAATGAAATTAATACCATTCTCAAAGTTGGGGACCTCCAAGGCATGAAAGGAAGAGGATTTATAGTGCATGAACTGAGTATGTTAACAGCAACCCGAAGGAGGATTTAACAAGCCGGAAGTAGAAGACAACAGAGGAAGCCCCTGCACGTCAGCGATAGTAAAAGTGCCCAGCACGCAAAGAAGCGGTTCTGACTGTGTCCAGAAGAGATTTTTCTTTTTTTATTAACAGAAACTCAAGGGAACTCAAGGGAACATTAACAGAAATTCAAGGGAACATTACTAACATATTAACAGAGAATTATATGTGACTGAACTAAGAAAAGAAGTTTGACAACACACAGAAGAAGCCCAAGAAGATTAATTGGACATTACTAACAGTTTAATTTACCAGTTTATATATCACTCAGCTTTCTCTTTCTCCCGCTGTCTACCCTTCCCTTTTTTTTTTCTTTTAAGCGAAATACCTCCCCTTTTTAGGGGAGCTAATAAAATCTTTACAAAAAAAATCTTCTTGCTTAACTGGGTCAGGGCAAAACGTTAAAAAGGCAATGCAATGTATTCAATGCAGCTTTGATGGTCTGGAAAGAAGGAAGATGATTTTCCAAGTGCTGTTTAAGACAAGTGAAAGAAAACTGAGAATGCTATTGGATGTCCCAAACAATAGCCGACTGGCCTCAATGATTGCTCAGTGGCTGGATTTGGGGGATTATAGTTGGTGATTGTCTGACACAAGGAGGACCAAGATTGCTACCACTAAAATATTTTAAACCAATAAAAGAAATACATGTCAGAGGGGTTGCTATGCTTTTTTGAGGTGCTGAAAGCTGAAGCTGTGAAGTTCACTGTTAATGTTCTGTCTGTTTTTGCTGTCCAAGAGAAAAAGAATGCAACACAATTGTTTAAGAATTTGTTGCCTTAAACCTTTCTGACAGTCTCCAAATGTAGTTGGCAGACAAACACATATTGGATGTCTCTCCATCTAGTCCTGATGGGAACCCACAGATTCAAAGAAAAGGGTCCACAACCTGAGGCCTGTTTTTAGGCTTCTGAAGGAAAGACAAAAGAAAAGCGAAAAGGGCCATAAGAAGAAGAGGCGGGAAGCAGCAAACTCCAGCCAGCTAATACTCAGGGATGTCACACAGAATGATGCTGCGTAGCTAGCATATTTGCCTACAGTGCTGTATTAGATGAGCACCTTGTCACCTGGTTCATTCACAGGACTCACACTGAACTGGCCCTTAACCACTTGCCACTTAATATCATTTCCTGCCTCCCCTGAACCACCCACCCTCCTGGACACCCACTGATACTGCTGCCTGTGATCACAGCACCAACAGGCTTGCATCTGATGCTCTAATCACATACATTCTTCCTGCCCCCCCCCAGCACTTACACTCCAGCTTATCCTCAGCCCGTCCCCTTTCCAGCAGTGACAGGTAGCAGACAATGTCCTTCAGGTAGACTACCTGAGCCAGAGGGGCTGGCGAGTGCAGACTGGCAGTTTTCAGGGAGTTGTGACTCTTTCGGAGGCTGAATGGTAATTTCTTTTCCAGGCTTCTGGAGCCTATAGGGGGAGACACAGATATTCGCATATATTTTAGAAGTACAGAACAGATTTTGGACCATGCAGTCAGGTGGAGACCATTTAAAATTATTCAGCCTTATTTGGATTAATTCTGCCAGTAGCACAATGACCTCAGGAAGAGTTCACATACTTTCCCCCGTAACCCAGTCCTATATGTCTGGTTTATTTCTAGCAGCGTAAACTAACTGGGACTGCAACAGCTAAAACACCCTAATCCTGGCACATTGGACATAACCATCCTCCTACCTGGAAAAAAAAAGTCCATCTGGTTCCTTGCTTCCAGGAAATCTGTTTCAGCTTTCATGACCCTCTAGCAGTTGAATGTTGTGAAGCTATCCGTGCCAGTGCTGTGGAGGCTCAGGAATGACCAGGGAGGTATATCAGTGTGCCCTTCCTCCCTGCCTTTACCCTTTCCAGGATGAATGTCAAACACGTTTTTACTCTGTTCATGATTTGCTTATTAGTTCCATATAGCGGTTTTATGGTATTCTATATCTTGTTGTGTGATGTGTTGTATGCATTAATTGGTAGTGGTGTAGATTATAAATTGTCTCAAGGAGAGGGTGCAAGGGGCAGAAATCTTTAGACATACATTAAAACAGGGGTGTCAAACATATGGCCTGTGGGCCGGATCTGGCCCCTGCAGGGCTCAGTTCCGGCCCGCGAGCTCTTCTTGAGTTTGGAGGTAGGTGGGTGGTGGGCTTCCTCCCTCTCCTGTCCATGCACAAAGCCCCATAAAAGCCAAGCAAAAGATGCTCCATTCCTCATCCCCTCCACATGTTTTTTGCTCCCTGTAGTGTTCAATTGTATATCTCTCTGCAGATTTAAATGGTGGGTTTTTAAACTGGACATAAACCCATATAAAATTGAATCGACCACTAAAGGGAGAAAAATACGTGCAGAATAGAAATACCCTCCCCTCCCCAAAGAAACAGGAACTTACAAGCGAGGAAAATGAGAATGGGGAAAAGCCCATGTTTATAGAAGGAGGCTGGGCTCTGACTTCTGCTTTAATTACGTGATTTAAATGATATATTTTAATGATTTTAAAAGATTGTGTTTATTATTGTTACTTGGGTCCTGAATGTGTCTGCAGAAAGGTCGGGCATATACACACCCACAAATAAATAAATAAATAACATCATCCTCAACCCCAGTGAAGTTTACATTTATTCATATTCATCCCCCTTGCCTTGGCTTCTCCCTCCCCTCCCTCTATTCTGTCCCCAATGCTGAGTATTATATGGTAAGCTCCTTGTAGGTGGGACTTGTCCTTTGTTTATACTGTAAAACACCATTTGAATTCGTTGCTAATGAATAAGGATCAGTATATATATTTTTGCCACTGCAAACTTGCACATTTAGGACTGCATGTCTCATGCTAGAGGAACGAACTTGCAGTACAATGCTTTTCAATATATGTAAATAAGACATGCTTCCAAACCAGAAATTGCTGACCACGGAAATTAAAGCAGCAGTCTCCGATGATATTGCACCACTCATGCAAACTGTATACTCGCACACAATTGAACTAGTAAGTCTGACATATTATGTAAAGTATGACCCAGCCCTATTACTTGAGATGGAGGACATGTCCTGGAAGAAGAAACCAAAGAGAAAAGGAAGTTATCGACTAGAAAGAGATAATGAAGCAATTGGTCTCTGGATGCAAGCACAGGTGAAGGGAACTCTGGCTCTGGGGACTGAAGAGACTTGCATTCTCCTTCACTAACCCTATCCTGGCAGAAGCAGTCCTGTGGAGGCAGTGAGTCATTCCATGGCTCCACAATGCTGTTTCCTGTTGCCAGGGAACAAAGATGTTGGCTGACAGGATCTCAGCAGGAAAATAGGCCTTTCCACCTCAAAAGTAAACAAAGGTGCTATGATGCTACAGAATCTGCTGTGCTTAAAATATAAATGTGCTTCACAGCTGAGCTCAGGCAGCTGGCGGCATTGCTGCAGATGAATTAGAGTGATGTAAATACAATCTTGTGTTTGCAAAGACAGCAGCAACATGCTTTCTCTCAGTGCCTCAAAGGAAACTCCCAGGGTGCATGTCTACCGCTGTGGAGGAAATGGATGCAGCTGAGCCTGTGGAGAGACAGGATGTTGAAAATAACATAGATATTAAGTCCATGAAAAAAATGAGTTTTGAAATTTCTCTTTGCCTATAAAAAGAGCCTTTTGCTTTCCAAATTCTCCCAGAGATCTAAGGTACAGCACAGATGGAAATTTTGCTTCAAGTTTCTTTACCTGACTTCTCCAATGGACTTCACCACTTTTTATTTATTTATTTGGTTTATACCCTGCCCTCCCCACCAAAGCAGGCACACCACTTTCACAGCTGATAACAGAAAACAAGAGAAAGAGAGTGCCATAGTTTGGGGTTGTAAAATTGGTTCCACAAGAACATCTAGGGGAAAATGATGGCATTCACATAAGCCCCCCGAAAAACAAGGACTCACCTGGGGATTGTGGGCTAAGCAGGGAGACTGAGGAGATCTTGGAGGACCCTGAGGAGTTGTGAGCAGACGGGGTACCGGCAGCAGATTTCTGCGATGATGACCTGGACCAGCTAGGTGAGGCATTCCCGAGGGTGTTGTTGGCTGTTGGAGTGGGACTTAGAGATGCTGGCTGCTGCTCTGCTAGGTTTGCCTGGGGGCTTTTGGATTCAGGTGTGTGTCTTCCTATGGAACTTAACAGAGTCTTCCCATTGATCCCTGTAATGCAAACACATCCATGAAGCCAGCACTCCATAAGAAACTTTGTTCTTCTATGCACGCCAGCCACTTGGGGCAAGAACTGTCATTCAAGTTCCTGGGGAAGTGGATAAGTAAATTTTTTTAAAAAATGATTGATAATCAAAATAATATGTTCCTCTCATGATATTTCTTAAACCTGCTACCCAAATGAACAATGTAAAATACATTAATGTTACTAGAACTATAAATCAAAAGGAAAAAAGTCAGCCTACAAACAGATATGGGATAACTGGAAAAACAAACACAACGATTTTATTTCCCTGAATATTGAGTGAATGACGTGGGGTTTTTTGTTGCGCTGTTGCTGCTACTACTGTTTAATTGGATTGTGTGTTCTGGATTGATTGCCCGATTGTTGTATAAGCTACCTTGAAGGCTTACCTTGAAGTGGAAAGTCAGGATAGACAAGCAGACTGGCCCTGGACCAATCACTCTCTTGCACGACAATCTGTTTCACAGGCTTGTTGTAAAGATTACAGGATGGGAGAAGAATAGGGTTGCCAGGTCCCCCTTGGCCAATGGCGGGGGAGCAGGGGGTGTAGGGTTGACAGCTCCAGGTTTGGAAACTCCTGGAAACTTGGGGGTGCGGCCTGGGGAAGACAGGGATCTCACTGAGGTACCATGCCACAGAGTCCATCCTTCAAAGCATCCATTTTCTCCAGGATCTCTGTAGTCTGCAGATGAGCTGTAATTCCAGGAGATCCCCAGGCCCCACCTGGAGGCTGGCATCCCTAGCTCAGAAGAATATACTGCCTGGGGCTCCTTGAAGGAAGAGTGGGGTGAGGGGTGATTGATAGATCAACCTCTGCTCGTTTCCTCTGCAATAACTACAGTGGTTGGTTAAAGGACATTTGCTTTTACCATTTTCTTTAACTATCCAGGGGTCATTTCCTGCGGGAGCGCACAGGAGTGGAGCTCCGGCAGTAAGGAGCCCAGGGGGCGGCCACATGCAACAAGCCCCACCTCCTGCTCCCAGCAGCCGTCAGTCGGGCCATGATGAGCAAGAAGCAGCCAGGTAAGTTGCAGAGCCCCCCTCCCCCCCCCGGCTTGCTTTCAGGTACAAACTCTCCCTCCACTGTGAGGACAGATCTGCACGTCCCCCCCCCCCAATAGCTAGGAATCCAAAACAGTCCAGTGGAGCCTGAGCGGTGGGTGTTGCCTTCTGACACACTTCCAGTGATGTCAGGGGGTGTGACATATGCAAATAAGTTATGCTAATAAGTTATGCTAATGAGCTCCTGAACCTCTTTTTCTACGAAATGACCCCTGTATCTATCTAACCTGGATGGTAGGTGACCACCTGTCTGTGATACCAGAAATGCAGAGCTGAAAGAAAGACATTCCTTCATGCTGACTTTCCTGGCAGGGCATAATAGTTACAAATGCCAGGCCAAATTTAAAATGCTTTGGTACTCAAGTGCTGTTTGCTTTACATGTTTACTTAGTCACAGCATGTCTCTGTACAGGATTCCAGACAGAGGGAGTCCCTGGCAAAAAGGAGAATAAGCAAGAAAAGATGGTGCTGGAAGTGAAGCTGAATACAGCTGTATTTATGTCTGTAGAATTCCTGTTTAAAAGTGGAGCATATTTTTCATATGCACTCATAGAAACACTCAGCACTGATACCTGTGACAGGAGCGCAAGCAACTTCTGTCTGGATGGAGATGCCTGTATCAATAGTCTTGCCTTCTGAATAAGAGAAAGAAAAAGAAGAAAAACATTACACATTTTAATAGTGGATGTTTGTTTAATGTTTATTGCAATAAAAGTTTATTGCAACCTTAATTGCAAGCCATTGCAATAAACAGCTGTCACCCTATTTCAGCCAACCTCTCTTTCTTGGAAGAGCATAAGAGAACAGAAAATATTTGGTTAGAGTACTAAGGGGTTGCATGGAAACATCCTGCCTCAACTTCAGTGTAGAGTATAAGCAGAAGGTATTAGGACCTGACCAAGGTTGTAGGCAGTCCTGCCTGAATCTAGACCTGAAGAGTGCAGAGGAACCAAAAGTAGTAGGGAGCTGCAGATAGTATGAAGGCATATGGCTAGTACAGCTACGTTGGCCAAACAAGAGCAAGAAGGACAAGCTCCTAGTGTTTATACCAGGCCTGGCCAATCTAGAGGCTTCATACTGGCTGCCAAATGCAGACGTCAGTACTGCATCCCTCTGTTCTCTTTGACTCAAGGAACCAGTAACTCACTCAGCTAAGTCCCAGATCACAAGGTTCAGGTCCCTGACAGCAGGAAATGGTGGGGAAGTTCATTTTGTACTGAATGTCAGTCTAATAGGTGGCATGCAGTGGATCCTGGGCTTTCAGTATGTGATGAAACAAATGCTTGTTCCTTTGATCAACTCACAACACAGCTCATATTTATCACACCACTACATATCTACATAGTAGCTGCAGTCTGAGTTGTAGCAATACAAAGCACCTCTGAGCAATACACAAATAGCAATGACATTTGTTGGACCACCTTTATTGAGAAAAGTGTGTGCAATTTTATTTATTTACCTTATTTATATCCCACCTTTCTCCCCAGTGGGGACCCAAAGTGGCTGACATTGTTCTCCTCTCTCCTGTTTTATCTTCATAATAACAACTTTGTGAGGCAGGTTAGGCTGAAAGTGTGTGACTGGCCCAAGGTCATCCAGCAAGCTTCCATGGCATGAGTGGGGACTTGAACCTGGGTTTCCCATTTCCTCCTGTGACAATTTAACCATCTGACTCAACAGGTGGTGATCAATTACATATTCTCACAAGTGAGTAGTTGATTCAATATGCAGTCACTTGTGAAGTGTGATGCAGTCAGAGATCTGCTAGAGGAGAATTCATGCTACTCACCAAGAGTATTGAGCTGGGGAATGCTGGAACTTTGCCGCTGGCTCTCTGGGGAATTCTGGCAGATTTTCCGCTTGAAGGACATGAAGAGATGCTGACATAGCTCCTCTGCAATGTCCACTTCCAAGTATGTTCTCATGAAGAGCTGGAACCCCTCATAGTCAATAGGCTAGACAGAGTAGAAGAGGATAAAGCTGGGAATCCCATTAGAAACTCCGACGTCATAGTCAGTTCCCCCCCCCCCCCCCGCACCTTCATTTACAGACTCCCTGCCATATTGAGGTGTACAGAAACAAAGTTCTTTGCCTGCAATGACTGGAAACAGTCACACAACACTGGCAATTGCTAATATATATAAATGTAAACCTGAGATAATGATTGGAAGCTTTTGAACAGGTGCTACTGAATATGTCATAGAAACATGGGCTCAGAGGGCTTCAGTGGGAGGGTACCAGGGACAAAGTTGTGGAGAGACTAAATGACTTCTCTTTTCTTGAGGTTCCTGAGTTAATTTTATAAAGGGATCAGAATGGTAATGTAAAGAAACAGCTCAAGCGGTAGCACTGCCAACCTCCAGCTGGGGCTTGGAGTTGGTTGCCATCTCTGGGCTGGGAAATTCCTGGTTGAGCCTAGGAAGGGCAGAGCTTGAGGAAGGGAGGGACCTCAGCAGGATATAATTACCATAGAATCTGCCTTCCAGAGCAGCCATTTTCTCCTGGAGAACTGATCTTTGTAGCCTGGAGATCACTTGTATTTCCAGGAGACCTACTGGTCCCACCTGGGGGCTGGCAACCCTAAGATCTCCTGGAATTACAGCTGATCTTCAGACTACAGAGATCAATTCCCCTGGAGAAAATGGCTGCTCTGGAAGGCAGATTCTATGGTAATTATATCCTGCTGAGGTCCCTCCCTTCCTCAAGCTCTGCCCTTCCTAGGCTCAACCAGGAATTTCCCAGCCCAAAATGGGCAACCCTATCAGAGGATCACTTTTATAAGGGATAGGATTGTAATCTATTGCGGTTTTTATTGTATGCATCACCTTCCTTTTACTGCATTGTCTTCTACCTTTGTAACCTTTCTACACTATATACTGCCATGCCTTAGAAGTTTTTGTTGTGTTAGACTGTTGAACTTATTTGTTATGAGGGCCAGATCTGACATAAATGAGACCTTGTCGGGCTGGACCATGTGTATCATAAAATGTAATGCCAGGTAGCAGAGATATAAACTTTATAAAGGACACACACAAACATAATTAAAGATTTTTTCAAACTTAAAATAAGACATGCTTAAAACATTATCACTCTTGCAATATTTTGTTTATTTAACAGTCTCTGATAACTGACACCTCTTGCTCTGAATTATTACATCAAAACCTGGAGACAATGTCTGTGCTGTAGCAATCTTGAGGTTGTTCAGGTGTGTTTCTGTAAGTTGCAAACCTACTTTTGATTTATTAACATTCATTACAGAAATCTCATGGTCAATGTTCTGAGCCTAAGACCCAGGGGAAAACATGAAATGGCTGGGCATTGTGAGCTTTTGTACATAAGTTGCTTTGTATGCTGATCAAGAACATGTGAAGGCACCATGAAGCAGTGCAAGAATAGAGAGACAGCAATGTATAGTGGTCAGTATCAGTCTACTATCTGGGAAGTCTAAATTCAAAATCTGCAATCTGCAAAGGAAATGTGCTGGGTAAACTTGGTCCGGACACTCACTCTCAGCCTAATCCACCTCACTGGTTTGTTGTTAATCCTCACCTTAGCATTGCTTTCCTACTGAGAAAGACTGAGTCATGAGGTCATAAATACAGTGAAAAAGGGGAGGGAAACCCACTTGCACCCAGGAGAGCCCTGGCATAATGAGCTCAACAACACACACACACACACACACTCTGTAGAAAGCCAAAAAGTTCATACCTTGAATAAAACTTTGTTGATCTTAAAGGTGTTTTGTATCTCTCCCGTGCAATTGAGGGAACTGGGAAAAGCAAGCTCTTGCTCTTTCTCTTCCTTCCCAGGGGATGAGGAGGGGGAGGAGCCTCAGCCAATGGAGGGAAGAGAGGCTTGGCTCAGTAGCTGCTGTGCGTTTGAGAGAGCCTGGCAACGCAAGCTCTTGTTCTTTCCCTCCCTCCTTCCCCAAGGGAGGAGGAGATGAGAGGAACCCCAGCCAATGGAGGGAAGAGAGGCTTTGCTCTGTAGCTCCTATGTAATTGAGAGAGCCTGGCACAGCAAGCTGTGACACAGAAGGAAGCAGGAGAGAGGGAAAAGGAAGCAGAAGAAAGCCAGTTGCTCGTGGGCTGGATAGAAGCCCTGTGGCTCATTTGACACCCCTGTGTTAAACAGTTTTTTGTTTGCATTGTTTTTCAACTCTGTAATCCTAATCTTACTGCATTGTTTATTGGAGATTTTTGCTGTTTGGATTGATCTTTATATGTTGTAATCTGCTTGAAGTTCAATGAGAAAGGCAGGCTATAAATGAAGTAAACAAACAAAGATTCCCCCCACCCTGAAAACTTTAAACAGCCAGTTAAGATGCTGTTTTTAATCTCAGCCCCAGGCTGGTTTTGAATGGCAATTATTTTCCAGGTAGATGTCATTGCCATTTGTTGGAGTTTCAAGTTGCTTACACTTCAGTCATTACAGAATTAAATGTTGTTTGTTGGCAAACAGGATGTTACGTTACATAATGTATTCTACGGCAGGAAAGTTTGTGGGAGTTGTTTACCCTAATGAAGTGATCTGTAACCTTTGTATTGGTCAACTAACAACTTGTTTGTGGAAATGCTTTGATCTAGCATTCATGTATTCACAAGGTTTATGGCTCTCTGTGTGAAGCAGACGGGAAGCTCCCCTCTAGAAGCCAACACAGATAGAAAGATGTAGCTGTTGGCATTTAGTACTGAAAGTAACTGCAAGTATGTAACCTTTTCATTTTATTTCTTTTATCAAAAGTACCTTACCCAAGCTTTATTTTGTTTTGTAGTAAAGATTTTTTTTAACTAATGTGACTCTTGTGTTTGCAAAACGACCATCGATCTTGAATCTCATAATCCCAACACCATTGCAAATGCAGAGGCATCTGCGGGGCAATTTTCCCTGCACTTCCTTGCCTCAGCTCCCATGGCTGCCATTCCCACCTGTGCCACTGGAGGGCCTTATGGGGGCTTCTTAAAAAAATCAGCAGTTGCTAGATTGCATTAAAACAATTTATTATCATGATCTACTAGCTCCCCAGCTTCAATTTTTTTCACAAGTGTAAGCCTTGTAAAAATGTTTACACAAGTAAATATCTAGCCCTTTTCTTTGCAGTGTATGATAAGGGGAAACAATAGCTGGGAATTACTAGATTGTGGCAGTAGATCATTATATTATTGTGCTATAGCTATTAATCAATTAACAATTTTAAAAGTCCTGAAAAATGGGGGGGGGGGGAGGATGGCAGCTGTGGAGGCTGAAGCAAAGAAAAAGGAAGGAAAATGTGGATGGGATCTGCAAAAGTGTTCACTTTCCCATCCACATGTCCAAAGGTGCTTTGGCTGCAGTCTTCCCAAAAAGATCATATCAAACCATGTTTGGGAAAGTTCACAGCAAAGCAAGGGAAAACATGAAAATAGGACAGATAAATATGGATGCTCCAGAAAACACTGTTGTGGTATTCTAACAGGTGAAAACCAAGACTGGGCAAAACATCTATGTGGAAGCAGCCTCAGTGTTAAGCAGTGGGCAATGAAAATGTATATATATGCATATGCAAATAAACAATGGCTATAACAAATATAACAGCCCTAGATTTGGGAACAAGGTTTAACTGACATTGTATCTGCCACTCTAGAAAAACCAAAAGGTAGTAACAATTCCTTCCTCAGCCATGATCTCTGGAAGTGCCATGGTTCCTAAAAGGGGCTCAAAGGGATGGTTCCAGGCCAGTGGTATGCAACTATGTTTCATTACAGTCCAAGTACTTGTAGGTGTGACAGTAGCATGATGGGTTCCTGTAATGTGATGAAGTTGATAAGATAAAATAAATGTTGTGATAGTGACATTTTGGAGACTAAGTAGCAGGGTGGATTTTGCTATTGCATTCATTTATGTTTTGTGTCCAGTAGAAAAATAGTTAAGCAAAGAGAGGAAATATATTCATATCCCAAGAACCCCTCTGAAAAATGAAGACAGAATAAAAGAGATGAAAATAGTGCAAACACACAAACTATCAGCAATACTCTGAAGCTCCTCCTGATGCTTTTCATGTGACTGGGCTAAACTGGAACACATGTGCCCACAAGTGTGTGTGTGTGTAAAGTACTTTCAAGTTGCAGCTGACTTATGGTGACTCCATAGGGTTTTCAAGACAAGGGAGAAGGAGAGGTGGTTTACCATTGCCTTCCTCTGCAAAGTACTGACCCTGCATAGCTCCCAAGAGCTGACGTCATCAGGCTATACTATACTCTTCCACATCCCCATATCCACAAGTATGCAGCAGAAATGCATTGAAGTATATACACACAGACAGAAAACACTAATAAGCAACTACAAGTCTCTCTCCTTCAAACTGAGTAAAGGTCACATTGCGGGAGTAGACAGTACACAAGTGTACACAAGAAAAATGAAGTTTCTCCACACAAGAAAACAGGACAGGTGATGTGCTTATACACGCCAGCAGCAGTGGTACACACTAGATTACATGCACACGTGGACAGCAGCAGCAGTGTCTGAAAAGGAGACGCAGCTAAAGCTCTTGAGGAGTGTGCATCACAACAAACAACTGAATGTACAACATAGGTTGCAGCAAGCAAGCAAGCCTGGTGAGCCCATATGGAGTACTGGCTGTGGAGCAGCAACAGGGCAGACAGCTCACTTCTTCTGTATTCTGTGCACTATTCTACGTGCAGTCCAGAACACACGGAATCCTGGTTCAGAATCTAAGATGGAGGAACCAGAGATTACTTTGTACTAAAGTGAGCAGCTGACATAAAACATTTAGGAGTTTCACAACTTTTCATAATACCATGATTTTAAAAGATGAGGCATGGTCAAAAAACAGCAAAGGGTCTTTCTAGATTTATTTAGTGCATTTCTGTCCTGCCCTTCCTCCAAGGGGCTAAGGGCAGCTGGCATCATTCTCCTCTCCCGCATTCTGTCATCAAAGCAGCCCTTTGAGGTAGGCAATGCTAAGAGAGTGACTGGTCCAAGGTCACCCAGAGAGCTTCATGACCACGTGGCGATTTGAACCTGGGCTTTCTAGGTCTTAGGAGCAAACTAGATGAGGCATTTTGGCACGAGACAGATCTGAGTCCCTTTGACCTGACTCTGATCGTCCCACAGTCAGATGGCAGCTTCCAGAAAGTACATTTCCAAGTCAGGGGCCTGATTCAATTCAGGACTGCACGACAGAGGGACATGGGGCTCCAGCATCCTACCCATGCCATTTTCTTGAACTGAAATTGGGGGCACTATGTGGGTTGTTGGGAGATCCATGTGTACTGCCAGCTACCCATGCAGCCCCACAACATGGCAAATAATTTATCCATGTCCATTTCTGGTCGGAGAGACAGAAGCTGTAAGGTGATAACTACACCACACTGGCTAAAGATATTGCAAAACTTGTATTCTAAATGTGCAGAATAGCTTGCACTCCAAAAGAAGGAGCTACAACACTGCATGAATATTCTTCTTGTTCTTTGCTGTCAAGTCACAGCTGACTTATGGAGACCCCATCGGGTTTTCAAGGCAAGAGACATTCAGAGGTGGTTCGCTATTGCCTGCCTCCACATTATGACCTTGGTATTTATTCCCTTGGAGGTTTACCACCCAAATACTAGCCAGGGTCAACCCTGCTTAGCTTCCAAGATCTGATGACTTGAGATCAGGTGAGCCTGGGCTATCCAGGTCAGGAATATTCTACTCCCCATGATCAGTGATAAGCATACCAGTTAGCTGGCACAGTGATCAGCAAACCAGTTAGCTGGCACTGTATTCACTATGCAACACCATCCTAAGTGGGCTAGGCTCTTTGGCTGAAAGAATCTGGAAAATAATTTGGCCAAAATAAAAGAATACAGAAGAAAAACTTGAATGCTACCTTTGCAGCCAAAATATACTATAGATCATTTAAGACTCATATGTTACCTTTGCACACAATTTATATCAATCTGTGTGTGGTAAACTGACTTCTGCATTGTTTATTGGTGTGCAAACAGTGATGCCAATTCACATCAGTGGCAAAACTTCTCTGCTGATTTGCCTCTCTGTACATGATTCCCCTGGAACTTTGCTGGTCTTTTGCAGAGTGCTGACTGAAACTGTGTGTCTCAACCAGAAGCCTACTTGACTATGAAGGGCTGTCAGTTTACGCAGAAGCAAACATGCAAAGCAACATGTAAACACAACATGTAATAACTGGAGCGCAGAAAACAAGCCTTACTTGGTTCAGAGTGTCTTGTTTCTGAGGGAAAGAAGAGCAGGGAAAAAAAGACAAAGTGTAGTTCAGTGAACAAATGCATAGCAGCAGAAGGAACAGGAGCAGCCTTTCTGCTGGACAGAGCTGACTAAAACACTCAAGGTACAATATGGCACAGTCCTTCCCATGATTGTGCAACCTCAGAATGCATGTGAGGAATCATTATTGGAAAGTAAACACACACCAGAATTCCTTTGAAGATAGAAACACTTAAGACACAAGGAAAGAAGATTTCTGGATGGCCTTCTCCCTGATATATGTTTAGTCAACAGCTAGAAGACAGAGGCTGTGCAAAGAAGAATTAACCACTGGAAAGGTCTGTGTGTCTATCTATCTATCTATCTATCTATCTATCTATCTATCTATCTATCTATCTATCTATCTATCTATCTATCTATCTATCGGCTTTCTGGTGTTTGCATGCTGCCTTCCTTCCAATAAGCTCATGGCAACATATTGAGTTATTTCTGTATATAGTAGTGTTCTGTAAATAGTGTTACTATACTTTAAGAATATTAAGGGAGGGATTGTGGCTTAGTGATAGAACACATACTTAGTGATAGAACACATGGTATGCAGTTAGTAGTGTGGCCTGGTTACTTGTATGTAATTGCTGTTCTTTGATTCTATTTAGAATCCTTTGATCTCTGATACAAGAGAGCTCCTGAGGAAGAGTTTGGAAGGGACTGATTTGCATCAGCAGGCAGAGGAGAGAGCCACATATCATGACAGCTGTCTCCTCTGTAAGGCATTTGGGAGTAGAGGGGGATAAAGGCCATACAAGTGACAGCATGTGCTCCACCCCCTTCTCTTTTTGACCACCAACAAGGGAGACAGCCACCCTCCCTCACTTTACTGAAGAGTAGGTGCTAGCTGGTTGCCCATTTGGAGGCTGAGTAGGAACGTTTTCCCCTTTGGCAGATTGGTATTAGCTTGGGTGGGTTAATTTTCACCTACTCTAAAGTCAATCAGGACATCCACCGGTTTTAGTAATGCCTAGGCACTGGTATTCCACAATGGCATTAGCAGTGCAGGTCAAGCTGCTTGAATGGTACACAGTACAGCTTAGGTGAGCACCCTGGGACATCATTTGGATGGTGAAGGGTTAACCCTCAAACCAGGCCTGGGGTGTTGATACCTTCATGGACCTGGTATAGGAAGCCCTTGAGGGGGTGTCATTATCCTCAACCCATAGACCCTGGGGGTAGGGGGACAAGAAGTGACACATCTCCCTTGAGCATCATGAAGGCCTGTCAAGGAGAAGCTTAAACCATATGTATGTGATGGCTCAAGGCTTGAAGCCAGGGTGGCCTCACCTGTAAATTCAGGGATGCCCAGACAAGAGGGGGCCTGACTTTTCTGCATTCTACCAATGTCACTGTTTGGAATGGGGTTCTGGCCTATGTGGGTATTGCAGATCCCCTTTGATCAATGTAAATGAATAAAATAAATAAAGTTGGCCCTTTTTATTACCCAACAGAAGGTGATGGTTCTCCTTATTCCAGGTCTGCATGCAAAGCTGAGACCTCACATTATCTTTGTCTGAAGCCAATAAACAGAATTATTTGGTGAAAAAGCACATCTTTTATTAACGAAGAGGCTTCTATAAACTAAAAAGAAAGTGGCTATTCATGGAAGATTTCTATGAATGAGAAAGAGGAAGATTTTGAATGTTATGTTTGAAACAGTATTTTAAAGCAAATGGCATTGAAGAAGAAGAGGGGGAAAGGTAAGCTTCTCACATTAGCAGGAAAAGAGACTTTTGCTGAAAGATTTGGCTTACCCTCAACAGCCTGGGCAAGTGCACTATAAAGAATGTATTAAACTGTTGAAAGGCCATTTTGTACCTAATAACAATTTCCCGGTGGAACAATATAAACTCCATCTAAGAGACCAGATGGAAGGAGAAAGTGTCAGAATTCCCTTCAGGTTTGAGGAAATACACTAGAATCACCCCATTGAATGAATAATCCCCCCCCCCCCACAAGTACAGTCACAGGCAACTACTGCAGGCTACTTCTCATATGAATCTAACTCCAGTTCAGAGACCAGATTTCTATTCAGGCAAGCTGTTATTTGAAGGGCATCCATGACCGGCCTCCCAAAAATGATGGGATATCCCCTCAAAGTAACAATTCCTGAGAGCAGTGGAAAGGGGATTGCAATCGTATAATTTTAGCAGTGGCTTACTGGCTCCCCAATACATTACTACTCCAAGGAGAAAGTAGTGGGAAGGGTCTTAAACTAATGAAAACTAAATCATACAAAAGAACTGTAAGAAAATGATTCCCCCCCCCCCCCCCCCTGGTCAACTTCCTCCACATCCTCTGTTGGAAAGCAAATCTGGTTCAAAGAGATTTTAAAGGCAATTAGTCATTAAACCCAATGGCAAATGCAGTAATTTCACTGAGCGGGTAGTAATGAATTATACCTACATAAGTTGCTTTGTGCGATACAAATAAGCACAGTAACAACTCCTGCCAGGGGATGGAAACTGCAGCAAACACTCTTGGTGGAAAACGACACAGCCCACTTTCAGCCACCCACAACACAGCATTTGTCCTGTTCTCTCCTAAGTGCCTAACAAGTACTCTTTTTAATGTGGAGCGAGCGCATTTAGGATTTCTGTTTCTTCCTTTGTTGGCTTGTCCCCAGAATTACTTCATGTGTCAAGACTTTCCTCACAGATTCTTTGTACCCACTTCTTACTTAATTTCGTTTGATACTCTGGAGCCTTTTGTGTTCTTGAATAGCTCTGCAGTTCTCCTCTCTCACCTGGGAACAGCCCATTGTTATAGTGCTTACTAAATCTCCTTTTTCTTTCTATAATAGTGATAATCTGCCCCATTTTCTCAGGGTCACTGCCCTTCAGAAAAGGTTTTCCCACCCCCACCCCTGGTAGAGGCATTAAAGAGCAGGATCTTCTTTATGATATTTCTCTCCATCCCACTCCAAACTTAAAAATAAGGAACTCCCAGGCTCGTAGCTACAGTGGGGGATCTTGGGGCTAGGCCCCCTGACTTACTGGCAAGGCCCCACAACTTCCCATCCACCCCAGGGCCCTCACGTGGCAGCAGGTGCCCCCTAAGAAATGTATATGCCCCCCAACTTTAAAAATCCTGGCTACGGGCCTGGGAACTCCCCCTCACCCCTGCCAATGTAAGGCATAATACTTTAACAAGTTGCATATAACAAAGAATGAACATGATTTCTGTTCCACTTTTGACATCTCAAGGGCAAAAATGCAAAAGCAGCAGAAAAAGAAGCAATTTTAGGCCCCGGTCACACGGCAGGTTTAGGCCCGGAAGAGGGACGGATCGGGGGCGCAGCAAATGGGCGCAATCACACTGCAACATCTGGGAAGCAGCGCGCACCCGTCCCCGATCCGGCCCTTTAGGCCGAAAATGCGCATAGAAAAAAAACCTAGGAAAAGGTAGGACCTACCTGAAATGGCGCAGCAAGCGCGGCCATGAGATCGCTGCCGCACCCATCTTCAGGAGCAATCGAGGCTCCCGGCCGAACGGCGCATATGCACACATGCGCAGCTGGCTGCCTCGCGCTCTCTTCCGTGGCTCCCCCCCGGCATCTGATCATGCCGGGGAGCAACTGCACGGTGGCTCAGGGGATCTGTCAGATCCCACCACCACGTGTCTCTTTTGGTACGGCTCTAAAAAGCCGCACTTTGGCCGTTCTTTTCCCCCCATGTGGCAGGGGCCATAATACAGCAAAAATGCATAAAACAATCTTAACACAAACAACTTTTCCAAATTAGAGACTTCTTATTTCCAATTAAAATCACAACTGTTGCAATTGTACGCACACTTATTATCATCTTGGAATATCTGTTCATAAATAGTGGTAGTGCGATCAGTATTTTTTACAAACTGATGTACAGGAGGGGTGTAACGATTCCTTGTCTTATATGTGTGTGTGTCGCTTTAAAAGTTTGGTTGCATGGCTGTGAGAGATAGTCTAGAGTGGTTAAAACAGGCAAGTGTAGTGTGATTGGTGATTAGCAGAAAGGGGGAGGGGTTTTGGATGTGAAAAATGAGTGGAGGAGTATGGATGTCAGTCTAGAGTGACAGAGGTTTGACAGTTGATGAAGACAGTTGATAAGTTAGTTCGTTTTGAGGTCTGGGGGAGAGACAGTCTTGTGTGTGATACAAGAGTTAAGTTCTGTGTATGAAGAAAAGTTGATTGTATAAGGAAACAGTAAAGTAAAGTTTAAGGGAACAAAAGTTATATGAAAGTCTGAATGACAGACTGGAGTGAAATAAGAAATGTATATGACCCTGAGTAATGAGTTACAAAGTTACCTGAAAGATCCCTGTCAGAAAGGGAGCAGATCTTGTGTGAGACACAACGCAGTTGTTAAAATTATTCACATTACTGGTTACATTGTTCTACACTTTTATTTATGAGTTATTTTAATAAATCTTCTTTTATTTAAGTATACCAGCTCTGAAAGGAATACTTCCTCAGAACCACATTAGTTCCTAGAAAGCCTTAAACTTGACCTAGCTACCCAGTAATAGAAAGAGTAAAAGCATAAAGGTTTGGAAATCCTTTTAAAATTTCCTGGTGGCAGCCGGATATACCCAGTAGAACAAAACATAAAGAACTCTTTTAAAGGGAAACCAGACCTCCCCAGATAAGGGGTCGTCACAAGGGGTTTCTAAATCTAATATCCAGAATGGATTTACATTTGGGACTGTTTATTTTTCCTTGGAAACACAGGTGCAAACATACACTAAAAGATTTCCAACTGGCCTGTACTTTACTTAGATAACTTTAAAAAACAACAACACTTGCATTGATATCTGGTTCAGGCTGAAGACTTGCAGTCAGTAACGAGATTTAAAAAAATAAAACATCCCTTTATGACTGAGTTAAAACTAAAATAGGTATTAACACTTCTAGTCTTACTCATAGCCCTCAAAATTGTTTCCAAACTGATACCTTGAATTTTACCCAGAAGGCAGCTGGAATGAAGAGCTGCAGCATTGGTGGGATATTATTTATTTACAAAATGTATAAACTGGCTTTGTGCCCTCACAAGGGCCACCAAGGCAGCAAACAATTTAAAACAGACATGATAAAATCACATTTTAAAACCACTAAATCATCCCCAGCACACAACATGAAAGAAAATCCTTTAAAAACGTTAAAATATGTACAAAGACATAAAAATAGGGTTGCCAAATATGTTTTGGCCGGGAGCAGGGAGTTTCCCCCTCAAATGGCATGGCCCCGCCCCCAGCGTGCGACGTCACTTCCGGGTGACGCACACGCGGGGTTGGGGTTTCCCCCGGGCCCCGATTCCGCGGGAGCGGAAAGCGGGGCTCGAAAGTGTGTGTGGGGGGGAATCCGCCCCCCGGGGGCATTTGCCAGCCCTACATAAAAACAACAATAAAACATTGGTCAGGAAGGAGGGACCCCTGAGGGTATGCCAAACAAAACAAAAAAGTCTTCACCCTCTGGCAGAAGATGGCAACAGAAGGGGACAGATGCATCTCCCTGTGGAGAGAGTTCAAGAACTTCGGTGCCGTGGCTGAGAAGGCCCTCTCCCACAGTTGCCACCTACTAGGGTTGCCAACCTCCAGCTGGTGGCTGGAAATTCCAGGGATTACAACTGATCTCCGGGTGATGGCGATCAGTTCACTTGAAGAAAATGGCTGCAAGGTATGCTAATCTCCAGGTGGCACCTGGGGATCCCCCAGAATTGCAGTTCATCGCCAGACTACAGAGATCACTTCTCCTTAAGAAAATGGATGCTTTTAGAGTCCTACCTTTAGCTGCTGCGGAGGAAAAGGAGGAGGAAGAGGAGGAGAAGAAGAAGAAGAGGAGGAGGAGGAGGAGGAGGAGATTGGATTTATACCCCGCCCTTCACTACCCAAAGGTGTCTCAGAGCAGCTTACAAACTCCTTTCCCTTCCCCTCCCTGCAACAAACACCCTGTGAGGTAGGTGGGGGTGAGAGAACTCTGACACAAACTGCCCTTTTTCAAGGACAGCTGTGCCAGAACTATGGCTTGCCCAAGGTCATCCAGCCAGGTGCAAGTGGAGGAGTGGGGAATCAAACCCAGTTCTCCCAGATTAGAGTCCGCGCACTTAACCACTACACCAAACTGGCTCTAGGGTCTTGAACTGCCGAACCACAGACCTTCTGGTTTGTAGCTCAGCATCTTAACACCTGAGCCACCGCAGAGTATACATGAGTAAACATGTATAGTGGATTGTAGTGCACATCTGCAAGAATGTTCTCCATTGAGATAAATGGCAGAAAAGGACACAGAACTATGTTTTCGCTCAAGCATCTCTTTTTTTGTGAATTTACCTTTAAAATATTTGGCTTGAACATACAGCCTAAAGAATTCTGTAAAATCTGAACTCTCGCACACTGCATTGTGAACACTGGCTGATCTTAATAAATGCTCATATTGGACTGAGCAGCATATCTAGCTGAATGTTACTACACACACAGGAATAGATTCACCTCAAGTTTCCTTACCTGTTCAGGGTTATATTTTGATAGGACTCCATCCCCATGGAATTCTTCTAAAACATCTTTTAATTTCTTTGTGGAATCTAGATGGAGAAAATCCATAACAATAAAAATTACTATATAGTCATCTATTTACTGAGAAGATCCCTGCAGTTTGTCAAGCTTAAGAAGGATTATAAACAATCATTGGAACGCATTTTGCAAAGTTGTAAAAGTCACGCCATAGCCCTTTTTATTTTCAAGGATATCAAGTCTGTTTTCTCTTAAAAGCTTTTTAATGAACTCACAAATGTGTGAGCTACTTAAACTGTATATTTACAATACCTTGGATGATTTCTTTGAAGCAAAGATTTATTAAACTTGCAATGACAAATATTTGACCTCAGTAATGTGCTGGGAACAGTGAGCAGCTGCCTCCTCTAAAATTCCTTGGCACTAGAAGACCTGGCAGGCACAGGGTGCTTATGAAAGTGTACATATTTCCTCCACAGAAAGCACTTCCAGGTATGAAAGAGGATTCAAACCACACATAAATCAGCACATGACAATCAGATGTCTCTATTTCATCACTTATGCATGTGCTTGCAACAGCTATGGCACAAAGCGCTTTTCCTGATTGACACATGCAATGATCAACATTCTGATAGCAAGCTTTTCCCCACACGAAATCACTTTCTTTAGTAGGAATCCTTTTCATACTTGAAAAGTCCCTCAGAACTCAGTTTGAGTCAAAATGGGGGTGGGGGGGAGCGGCAATATTTCATAGCCTTTTCTCCCTTCATGAGAAGGGTCTCTCTCTTCAGATGGGCAGTTTACTGAGGATTTTTCATGGCTGCAGAGAGAAGACATCCCCTGGCACACAGTCGGATTCCATAGGTTTGCCCTGCACACCAGGCATTTCTGAGGAAGTGACATTCCATTGCCATGATCAGGGACGTCACACAATGTCATTGTTTCTAGGCAGAAGGAAGCCAACTCTTCTCAAACAAAAGCAGGTTCCAGAATTTTTAGGCTCCCACAAAGAAAGTTTTTGCCTCCCAAAGCCCCCTTATCAAGTGCCGAAATGGCTGCACACTTCTCCCCACAACTGTTTTGGCATTTGAAAAGGTGTGTGTGTGGGGAAACAAGAGTGCCACATTGTGGGCCCAGTTATGATGAAGACCTCAAAGAATTTTTAAAAGACTTAAAAATGGCAGCAGTGTCCTCAAAGCTACCACGAGAATTCCTTCATGTCTAGCTTGACCCTAAGGCTACCAAAGTCTTAGAGCAGTGGTGGCGAACCTATGGCACGGGTGCCAGAGGTGGCACTCAGAGCCCTCTCTGTGGGCATGCGTGCCATTGCCCCAGCCAGGCCCAGATAGGGTTGCCAAGTGGATCTTCGCCGGGAGTGGGAGGCTCCCGGCTGGCGTCTGGTGCATGTGTGCGCGCAAAGCGTGCATATGCTGCATGCACGTCACCCGGAAATGACGGGAGGACACCAGGCACGCTGGGGGGGGCACGGTCAAACAAGGGAAAACCATAGAGTTTTTCCTTGGATGGTTGTGGCCCCGCCCCCAGCGTGCCCGGCGTTCTCCCGTCACCTCCGGGTGACGCGCACGTCGGGGCGGAGTTCCCCCTGGGGCCTAATCCGGCGGCACCAGGGAACGGGCCTCTGGGGCGGGGGTTTCCCCGCCCCCAGGGGGACTTGGGATCCCTTGGCTCAGACCATCATTAACGTGTCGAATTCTCTGCCAAATAATTTTAAGTAAATGAAAGCATTTGGGATTGCTTTCCTTACTTTGGTTGGATCATATTAAGTTAATGTATGAGTTGTTTTTCCTAAAGTAAAACCTCAGCATTCAGGTTAAATTGCTGTGTTGGCACTTTGCGATAAATAAGTGGGTTTTGGGTTGCAGTTTGGGCACTCGGTCTCTAAAAGGTTCGCCATCACTGTCTTAGAGGCTTTGGAGCGAGCATTAATGGGTTTTGTGTGAATTCCCAGTAATCACTGGACATGTGTGGGCCGTATACATGTGTGGGTCGTATACATGATATAAGTGAATACTGGGTCAAGTGACCTAAGGCAGCAGTTTTAAGGATGGCTCCTTTTATTTCAAGATAGTGCCATTCTTGAAGGCACTGATATAGGGACCCTGTACATAAGGCACCATTTCTGAAGGTGATGTCCTTACAATTACCTCTCACCATTGCTACTGCAACTGTAAGGAAAGTTAGAGAGCTAACTGAGAAATCACCAACAGGAAGAGAGGAGGTTGGGGTGGAGACAGTGTGGTGGAGAGAGAGAGAGAGAGAGAGAGAGAGAGAGAGAGAGAGAGAGAGAGAGAGAGAGAGAGAACACCGCAGGGGTCAGAAATGCATTATACACACTTCCTAGCCTTTGGAGCCCAGGCACATAAATTAAATGCTCAGTGGCATCTCCACTTCCTCTCTAGCAATAGTTACAACTTGGCTCTGCCATGGGGGTAGCAACATTTTCATTGCACAGATCATAACGACAGTCAAATCCGACTCTAGGGTTGGCTCATCTCTGCTTCCAAGCCGAAGAGCCAGCGCTGTCCGAAGACGTTTCTGTGGTCATGTGGCTGGCATGACTAGACGCTGAGGCGCACAGAACACTGTTATCTTCCCACTGAAGTGGTACCCATTTATCTACTTGCAATTTCTTGCTTTCGAACTGCTAGAGAACACTAAATCTGCAGAGAACTTGAAAGTGGCTTAACTCCCTATGCTCCTTGCACAAAAAGGAGAGTTAATTTTACTTGATAGAATAATGTCTTCCATTTTTTCTGTAACTAAAAATATTTGAGAAGAGTTCTTTCAAGAAATGTATCGGTTGATGCCAGTTTCTTTTTTTTAATCCCTCTTGCTAGGGCTTCCAAACCTCAGGAGGTGAAATGTCCCTGGTGGGGCTATACAGTTCAGCTGCCCTGGATTAGAAGGTCAGCCCCAAAGGATCAAAATAGACTGAAATGTCACAAGAAAATGCTTAAAAGTTGGAGTCTTTCAGATTTCTAAAGATTATTCTAAAAATAAACAAGAAGGCAACATCTCAAAGGCTAAAGATCTGGTCTTGTCTTCTATGGTAATGTATGCTGTGATGTTTGGGCAAAAGCTGATGAAATTTTAAATGCATAATGATCAGCAGAAGAAATTGTTCTGGACATTTCTACTCTGGCATTTTATGCAATCCCACATGAAATCTGTCTAGCATAAGCAGAGGAGGCGGGTGCATGCGGACAGATTGAAGGGATGTCTCTTTTCAATTTCACATCCTCAGAATGGAAATGTGAATAGTCCTCAAAAACACCCCTCCTTTCCCCAGAAAGCACATTGCCAACAAAGATGCGATGTACAGGGATGCTCCTAGCTGGCATGGTACTTCCTCTCTTCCCCCTTCAACTGCTCCGTTCTGACCACATTCTCCTTAGGGAGACACATGGTTCACCTGCTCCCCACCCCCCACCCCCGCTGATGGTAGCCCAGATTTACTTTTACTTACCAGTCTAACATAGAACAGCAGAGGAGCAGAGACACTGCACTGAGTTAGACTCTCATTTGTGATTTCTGCAGTGAATTTTGAACAAGGCTAAATGCTTAGTACCAAAATAGTAAAGGTAAAGGTCTCCCTTGCTCGAAAGCCAGTCGAATCCGACTCTAGGATGTAGTGCTCATCTCCGTTTCCAAGCCGAAGAGCCAGCGTTGTCTGAAGACATTTCTGTGGTCATGTGGCCGGCATGACTAGATGCCAAGGCACACGGAACGCTGTTACCTTCCAATCAAAGCTGTAACTATTTATCTACTTGCAATTTCTTGCTTTTGAACTGCTAGGTTGGCAGAAGCTGGGACCAGAGACAGGAGCTCACTCTGTCATGCAGCACTCCGGTCTCGAACTGCTGAACTACCAACCTTCCAGTCTGCTGTTCAGTGTCTTAACCACTGAGCCACCGCAGCCCCTACAGTACCAAAATACCCTAGACATATTTTCTTAGGAGCTTCCCACATTCCTAATCTGGCATTCTGGTGTGATAAACCAATACCCAAACACAGTAACACAATTGAGCGGGGTTCCCTGAACTATTCCCTTCTGTGGAGTACACCACTCTTTTTGATCTTGTGAATCCTCTACAACTGTCTTAACTTGTCTTGCATACTAATAGGAAATCAGTGCAGACTCCATACCAGTGTGATATAGCTTGCAAAAATGAGAACAGGGCAGATATGTTGCATTTGTGGACCTCTCCCATCCTTCCCAATGCAGTCAGGATTTAGAGCTATGCCCCTAAATTTAGTTAGAGCACTTTATTGGATTGTCCAGAGTTCAGTGGTTCAATGGTCAAAATTCATGCAAGGAGATGGTTTTATGTACTAAGTCATAAATTAATGGTACCACCGCTATGAAAAGAATGAGTTGATGTGAATGTATCTCATCCACAGTATGCTGGAGAGCAACAGATTTTGTACTGTTGTGTACGTAAGGAATACAACGACAAATGTTGGCACCGAGAGATAGGTAGCATACTCACAGTCAGAATACTGTTGGAGCTGAGCAAACTCTGCCGGACTAAGTGTGATCCATGTGCCATCGCTCATCTTTCAGGTGAGTTCTGGGGAGACTGCGTCCACCTTTAGCAAAGGTCCAGGGAGGATCTGCACCTCTGGAGCTAGGATTTATTAAGGGTCATTGCTTCAGTTTAGGGCTGCAAATGCCTACTGTTGTCATCAGATGTACACAGCCAAAGAACTCAAAGCCTCTTCAGCAAGAGGGCTGATGTCCCCAGTTCCTTCACAGCTGTCCTTTTAACCACTGCACTTAAATGTGCCATCAGAAGATACTCCAAGTGAGGTGCCTCCGTGCCTTCAAACCTAGAATTAAGATGTGGAAATTATGAAAATCATGTCAGTCTCTTAAGGTGATTCATTCCTGCTGGCTTCCAGGGAAACATTGGGATAACTGGTCTTACAAGAAGCTTGTATAACAAAAGAAGGTAGAACCCGCAGAATACTGTGATATTTACTTTGAAATTGACTATTTTCAGTTAGATTTGAAAATCAGTGTCACAGACTTAAAAGGGTTCTACTAGATATAGAAGAAACTAGGTAGATAGATAGATGAGAGAGAATCTCAGTCATGAGCTTAGCTGAACAGCTCAAGAATATTTCAAAGGGAAGAGCAGTATGGACGGCTCAGTTTTTACTGGTGGATCCAACAGACCAAATAGCACCCTATTGGGTTAGGGAAATGGCATGGGAAGAAGGTTGAAGCCCCTTCTCCACACACACCATGGCCCCAATCAGAACTAGGAACCATGTCTGCAGGAACTGAGGAAAACCTGAAATTCAAGTCTTACTACTACACAGTGGCTGACTACCCCAGACTGAAGTACGTCCTCTGTAATGTGTAAATCAGTGTTTCAAGCAGCAGTTTACAATTTCACAATGAAAGGTACATTTCTAAGAAGTGGAAGGTACTTGGAGCGTTCTGAAATACACAATATCCCTGTGTGGTTCTACAAAGTGCAGTTATGCTAAAATTAAGACCATTTTCGTTAATACATGAATAATCAACAGTCCTAGGAAAGCCATTTGGCTTTCAGCTCCACATTTAATGTTAACACCTGGTTCAGATTAGCAGCTGTGTGAGTGGATGTGATCCCCACCAGCCTCTTTATAACTTAAACATCATGTAAAATCAAATCAAGTCAACATATGCAAAGCCTGTCCACAGCCTTCTAGAAGTTGCTGTGCCCCAGACATTCTAACTACATAGGAGATGTTATAAAATGATTTATTCAGCTGTAATTTTCTATCCAAATAAAAAAAACAAGGTTGTACAATGAATTATGATGCATAGTGTAGTTTTTGAGAAGGGATTGCATATCCATCCCTGTTTCCTTGTGCACAATAGAGACACCCCCCAGCAATCATTTTTACTGTAGGGAAGTATTTAAAGCACTAAAATGAATTGACTGCAGTCCTTCCATCAGCAAGTCCAAGTGCTTTGTGTCTTAATGTGTAAATGCTAAGGGACCATTCAGTAGATGTTAGTGACATCACTGTGAAGAGAATCTCAAGCCCCTTTTGCAATACCAAAGTCATTCCAGTTTAACAGGTCACACAATTCCCAACATTAGCCTGATGCAAAAGCCATTGTACCTAATCCAGTCCATCCCTGCCAATCCAGTCCATTCCTGCCTGCCACTATATGGCAAACCACTGAATTGAACTGTTAGGTTATTTTCATTCACAGCACTTCAACTGAGAATATAAGGTAGAATCAGGGGATGATTGAAGGGTAGAAATAGCCCTGAATAAGGACTCTGCCCCCACCCAACCTTGGCCCCCAGCCAATTCTGGGGGCCCACCTCCACCCACCCCAAAAGGAGGAAGGGAGACTCATCCCTCACTAGGTCAAGTGAGGGTTGGCAGGCGCATCCCATCCCTTAATGTGGCACTGAATCAGGTGAGGCTGAGTGTGCCCATTCCATCCCTCACATCACAGTGAGCTTGAGAGGGCGTGTCTGGTCCCTCACCAAGGTGAGGCTGGGTGAGCACAACTGGTCCTTAATCACAGTGAGGCTGGGCAGCAGTGGGTTGGGTGGGCGCAGGCCTTGGTTTCTGCTGGAGCGCACTGGAGCACCACTCCGCCAGTCAGGAAGCCAGGGGGCGGGCACATAAGCCCCGCCCCTGCTCCCACCAGCCATCAGTTGGGACATGGTGGGGGGCGGGCAAAACGTTCCCCCACCTCCCTGAGCCCCGGGGTGGTAGCCTTGGACTCGTAGGGGCAAATTCCTCCTCTTGCGCCCTCCCCCAGCTCTCCTTCGGGGCTCTTAAAAAAGTTATGGCCGCTGCCGCTGTTCTCAGCGGCAGCTGCGAAGCCCACACAGGCCGCGGGGACTGGCGGGGCAAAACGTTCCCTTGCCTCCCTGAGCCCTGGGGTGGTGGCCTTGGACTCATAGGGCCAAATTCCACCAGAATTTGTGGGGGGGGGGCCAACACCGGGCAAATGCCACCTCTCGCATGTGATGTCTGAGCGGCGTTGCCGCTCGGACATCACACCTGAGTCATTCTGGCTCCCCCAGCTCTCAGGAGGGGCTCTTTAAAAAGTTATGGCCGCCAGCTCTGTTCTCTGCGCAGCTGTGACACGGGGGTGGGTGGGGCAAAACGTTCCCTTGCCTCCCTGAGCCCCGAGGGGATGGCCTTGGACTCGTAGGGGCAAATTCCACCTCTCGTGCGAGAGGTCATTCTGGCTCTCCCAGCTCTCGGGAGGGGCTCTTTAAAAAGTTATGGCCGCCAGCTCTGTTCTCTGCGCAGCTGTGACACGGGGGTGGGTGGGGCAAAACGTTCCCTTGCCTCCCTGAGCCCCGAGGGGATGGCCTTGGACTCGTAGGGGCAAATTCCACCTCTCGCGTGTGATGTCCTTCTGGCTCTCCCAGCACTCGGGAGGGGCTCTTTAAAAAGTTATTACGACACCGCCGTTCTCTGCAGCAGCTGCAATGCTCAGATTCTACACACACATATTTAGAAGGAGGTTTCATTAAATTCTGTGGATGTTATTTCAGAGTAAATCTTAATCTGCATTGGGTCAGACTGTATGGCTCTATTAAGAAACTGTAAGCATAGACTGCAGAAGGTAACCATGTTTTAGAGGGAGACTGGGCTGGGCTGGGGACATTGAGAGGGATGGCTGGCAGCCGTATGACATGTTTACTCAATTGCCACAAACACACAAAAAGAATCTTGTGGAATATCACAACAGATTTGGTCTCAGGGCACCTTATGGTGCAACACAGAAGGGCATTTCAGAAGGAGCTCTGCGGTGTAAATCAAGTCTACTACAGAGCCTGTCAGATATCAGATAAAAGAGGGTCACAGAGGTAATAAAATCCTTTGAGCTAGCTCTCTGTGTCCTATTCAGCTGATCTGTTATGTATCTGGGATAACAAACTCACTTTAACCCTGAGTGATTTGTTTACACATTCAAAGAGTGAATCAGAAGTCAGAGGGCTGAAGGAAAGATCTCCGGTTTTCACTCACCTTCCTTCATCTTTGGCAAGGTCATTCTTCAGGGCAGGTGTTCACATACCCTAGGGTTCCCAGGTCCCCCCTGGCCACCAGCGGGGGTGGTGGGTGGCTGGGGGTAGGGTTGCCAGCTCCAGGTTGGAAAACTCCTGGGCATTTAGGGGTGAAGCCTGGGGAGGACAGGGACCTCAGTGGCATATAATGCCACGGGGTCCACCCTCCAAGGCATCCATTTTCTCTAGGGGAATTGATCTCTGTAGTCTGGAAATGAACTGCATTTCTGGGGAATCCCCAGTTGCCACGTGGAGGCTGGCATCCCTAGCTGGTAGCACCCAGGACTTCTAGCAGGGAGACTGTAGAGGATGCCTGCCACCTGAAGGAATGGGGGCAGGCACTCCTTGCAAAGGAAAGCGGGGAGCAGTTAACAAGAATAGGTATCTGTGGTCCCGGTCACACGGGCCGTAAAATGCGGGGGGGGAAGCGTGGCAGTTTGGCCCTGAGCAAAATAATGTGCGACCGCCTGATCACAGGTCCCATTGAGGTCCCGTGGGTAGGGGCGAGGTGGCGATCACACGACGATCCTGCAGCGCGGCAAATAAGTGGCACAGCGTGATCTCACCAATGGCATGCGCGATTCTGCAGAGCAACGGAACTGTCGCTTTCCTCTTCGTGCGCATGTACCACTGGGTGCTTGTGCGCATCCTGTGTAGACTTGGGGAAAAAAACTGTCTGCGACGGGACATGGGCAGGCGCCGGATGCCACGGACTACCACCGGAAACACGATCAGATGCCAGCCCTTGCCCCGCGGTTTTCGGAAACCAGTATCTCGGAGGTACTAGTTTTTAACTCCGCATCTTCGGCGGGAAGCCTTGGGTTTGCCATGGGAGCTCTATGCTTCCCAGATGTTGCGGTGTGATCGCGCCCGGAAAATCCGCCTATCATCCGTCTCAGTAGCGTGGCTAATGCTCCATGTGACCGCAGCCTGTGAGTCCCCCTCTACCATGAGACAAATAGTTTTAATTGGGTGGACTGAGGTTAGATAAGTGGCATTTGGGGGAAGAATTAGCCCCTCCCACCTGTCTTCAAATCCAATCCAGATTTGTCACAAACCTGCATATTCACCCAGTGACTGCTATTATGCCTGAATAACCCACAGGAGGTATGTTCATGTGTCTCTGGATTTTACATCTAGTTTCAGTAACATACCAGTAAAACGAAGGCATGGAAGGAGGGAAAGTACTATAAACCTGCTTAGCTTAAAGACTCCCCCCTCCCCTCGATGGCACATATCCCATGGGAGGAAAAATCAATTTCCCACAGGGTCGCTAACCTCCAGGTGGGACCTGGAGATTTCCTGGCATTGCAACTGCTCTCCTGACTAAAGAGATCAGTTCCCCTGGAGAACATAGTAACTTTGGAGTGTAGACTGTATGGCATTACACTGTACTGAGATCCTGCCGTTCCCGGGCTCCTTCCCCAAATCTTCAGGAATTTCCCCACCTGGAGGTAACACCCCTAATTTCCCAACTTTTATTTATTCAGAATATTAATATCCTGCTTTTCTTCGAGTCAACAGGCTTTAAAGCAGTTTACATGTTTTGTTGTCTGATTTCTTCTTAAACTATCCTCTTTCCAACCCTCCGTTATTTCCTGTCTTTTGGTAGTAGGGT